TTGGAGTAGTACTGAAACCTGTACACCTAATGCCTATTGCGCGATACCCCAACTCTAAGCATTTCGGAGAGCCAAGTCTTCTACGCGTTGTGCTGAACTCCATCACTTAAGTACAATCAATACTACTGTCGACTGGTAGTCTCAGAAATGAACACTGCTCCATCAGTATCTTTCCAGATATCCCATGGGGCGAGCGTTATCGAGTTAACCGCACCTTAGAGGACTACCGGAAGGAAACTTCAACCAGAACCATACTTCTTCACGGCCACCAAGCCAGCTGTACCACTGTCACAGTTCTTCCAAAGGTGCTTTGATGAACAACTAGTCCCCAGTATTTGGAAACATGACATAAGCACCCCAATTTTTAAAGGCGGTAGTCATTCAGATCCTGCCAACTATGGCCCAGTGACTCTCCTTCCTGTGCTCGCGAAGGTAATGGGAGCGGTCATCGCTGTGGCTCCAATGGACTACCTGGAAAAATGCAAAATCTTGGCATCGGAGCAGCATGGCTTTCGTCAACACTGGTCATGCACCACCAACGGACTGATTGCACGAGGTAGTTGGGCGGAAATGGCGGATGATGGGGTCGAGTTGACGTCATCTATCTGGACTTCTCCAAAGCTTTCGACCGCCTGGATCACGGCATCATACTTCACCGGCCACAGAGCTACGGAATCGGAAATCCTGTGCTTCATTGGATTGGCAACTTTCTTCACCAACGGAAGGTTAAAGTAGCTTTGGGGATCACTCTCCAACCCGATTGAGGTAGAAGACGGTGTTCCATAAGGCTCAGTGCTAGGACCGCACTTATTCCTGGGGTTTATCAACGACCTGGCAAGAGTTATCTCCTAAAATATCCTGCATTTCGCTGATGATGACAAGACATGGCGGGCGATTAATAACAATGAAGATCAGGATCTACTCCAACATGACCTCGATGGCATTTTTGAATGGTCAATGAGGAACCTTTTCCAGTTGAACATAGCTAAGTGCAAGGTCATCCATCTGCGTCACCAGCCGGTGAGCGCTTACAAGCTTCGAGACCACACCCAGGAGAAGGCCTCTCTGGAGCGTGACCTGAGTGTATTGGTACAGAACGATCCCGGGTGTTCAAAACAAGCAGAGAAAGGCGACGAGAACCGGCAATCAACACTTCAGCCTGCTTCGCATATCCTTTGGTCGGTTTGAACCCTTAATCTTTTCTCAAACGCTTAACGCCTACGTGCGACCGCACGTAGAATATGCCATTCAGGCTTTGCAGCCGTGGCATGACAGGAGCTTGTTGCTCTAAAGACTCCTCAACGAATGGTAACCGGAAAACGTCAGGAGGCTCTTTCATCTGCCCTATCAGCTTAGATCGAAATCTTTAAGAATGTACAGCAGTAAACATCGGCTTTTGCGGGGGGATCTCATAATGGTTTACCAGCTTCTGGAGAACACAAACCGCATTTGCCGCTCGCTGCTGGAATCGAACCACAACACTAACCTAAGAAGTCCTCCTCTGAAACTGAAAATAAAATATAACCGGCTTGAATGCCGTAAATCTTTCTTTTCCCTCCATAGTGACTTCTTGTAAGCTGCCTCCCGTGACAGCGCCTGGAGTAAGTTTGTCGGACGTTTCAGCAATTTGATCGCAACTTCTCCACAAATCCACTGACCTTTTTCAGAAGTTAAACACAAAACCTTTGCCAGTAAGAAAAGCGGGTTGGTACGCTTACATAGCCAGTTCTGGTCTCGAAACCTTTAGCTCTTATATAAGCAGGTTAACAGCATACGAAAAGTGTAGCAAGGTATTCTCCAGTTAACACGACGGTCAGCGCAACACGGAGCGCAGAAAAGCAGTTAAAGCTTTATGGATGCAGTATGCCCAGACTTTCCAATCAGACGTCTGCCAATGATACTTACTCGTAGCCATAGCGCCAGTTTCAAAACTTATTAACTTCGTGTGTACCAGCACATCTGTGTTGAAGAAACCGCTCTCACTGTGCACATACCGTTCTCACGGAATTAATGACATCCACCGGACGGTAGTTGAGGTAGTAGCATCAACGCTGGCCGAGCCATTATCTTATCCTTTCAAACGTGTTTGGATAAACAAATTGTATCTGCCATGGGAAAACATGACATAATCACTACAATTTCCAAACGTGGTAGTCGCTTGTAAGCCATAAACTATCGCCAACTAGTCGTCCTTCCTATTCTCTCAAGTGTGATGGAGTCCATCATTTCTGAGGCCTTAGTTGACCACCCCGAAGTACACTACATCTTTGCCCCGGAGCACAATGGTTAACGTCAACAGCGTTCATGCACAACTAACCTACTGATTGCACGCAGTAGTTGGGCAGAAGCTGTCGACAAAGGGGTAGGCAGCGATATCCCTTCACTCCAATTCTCCAAAGCTTTCGACCTCATGGACAACCGCATTCTGCTTCACAGGCTCGAAAGCTATGTAGCCGGGGATCCCGTCCTTGTGTGGGTCAGAAATTTCCTGCGGAAGCGCCAAATGCAGGTTAGAGTTGCGAGTATTCTGTCCTAAGCGATTAACGTCTAATGTGAAGTTCCACAGAGATCAGTGCTGAGGCCGTATCGTGCTCATTTATGAACTTACGCGTCTAATTATCTCAGGTATTCTGCCTTTCGCTGATGCGGCAGAAGATCGCCGACAAAGTTGATCACGATACATTTCAACGAGAGCTGTACAGGACGTATGTGTGGTCATTCCACAATATGCGGCAGTACATTTCGTCTAAGCGCAAAGTGTTCCATATTCGTCACCAGCTGAAAAGCATATAGAAGCTTGGAGACGATGTGATGCAAGCAGGCAGCCAGGATCGCTATCTTTGGTTATTAATTCAGGCTGATTTGCGATGCTCAGAACAACCCGGGAAAGCGTCAAAGCCTGTGCACCAACACATTGGCGTACTGCGGAGCGCATTCAGGCGGTTCGATCCTTGGGTCTGTAAGCGGCTGTTTGACGCATGTGCGGCCTCATGCGGAATACATAATCCATGCCTGGCAGCCGTGGCACAAGAAATATTTCCCAGCTTTCTATAGTGCAAGCGAAGAGCTACTAAACATGTCGAAAGGTAGTTTCACCTTCTATATCATTCTAGGCTGTGGCCCCTAAACTTTTGCAGCGGTCCTATCGGTGTCTATGTAGCGACCTAATAATGGTGTACCAAATGCTGTGGAACACATTTGCGTTTGTGGCCACTTAATGCAACACAATCACAACAAGAATTTGAGGTGCCACTATTTCAAATTGGCCAAGCAAAACAGTCAGCTAAAATGTCGACGAAACCTGTGACTCCCTTCGTTTCTGCCAGGCACGGGATGCCCTCCCGATTTACGTTATTTCCGCTGCAAATTTATTTGTATACAAAACGCCTTGACGTTGTCTTAACCCACATACAGTGCGAGATATATTCTGTGTACATTGACGGATGATACAATGTGATGTACGTTGCACAACCATCATTAACATACACAATCGAGGTTGGATCTTTTCTGTATGCATCGGTGTGAACGTTGGTGATTCCCTCAAAATGCTTTCCATTTCACCACCAGCTTTCCTTTTCAGTATTTTGTGGTTCTCATTCTGGACATCCTGTAGGGACCTGTCATGCATTTGCTTTGCTACTAGTAATGCACCATTGTTACATTTGCTCTTGGATAAGCGTGCGCGCCAATTAACTGCCACTGCTTCAAATCTGACCACGACAGCTGAAGCATGCACCCAGGCCTGGGCTGTCTAAATGCCGGTTGGCCTTAAGTAGGTCGTCTGGCAAGTCGCAGTTGTGTCTTGAGAGCGGACTACCGACGTTCACGCGATACATGCCAGGACATGTAAATAAATAAGCTTGTCCATGCTGGGCTACCAAAGGTTCCGCCGCCAAGTTAACGACTACAGATGATACCGTGAACTGTGTGAAAGCAGCTCGGTGTAGTGTACTGCAGGTTTTGGATTATACTTCGAACTGTTAATACTACAACACTGCCTGTTCAAACTTCGCTAAGCGCATTTGGTCTTTGCCCCACAGAATGGGGAATCGCCAGGCAACTATCTTCAGCCGTATGACTCACACTACGGTGCTCAGTAACGATCGCTACTATTGCACACATTACCAACGTCGGAGCTGCAATAGCAAGGTCCGAATGCATAGACACAGTGTTACAGTCATCCTGATGAAAACTTTTCCAAGTAGCCATGTGCCTCGATATCATTAGACCGATAGGTTAACTTACCAGGAGGCAACCAAAAGTTAGCTCCTTCTACCACTTAGACTGAATCACGAGTAGAAAGGTGGTGTACGATTAGGACGGAAGCTCATCGTCTCATTAGCTATTGATCCAGGTTTCTTGGATTGCTTCATTAATATGCGGAGAGGTCACAGGTCAAACATAATAGGAATATAGCACAAAGGATATTAGCGTGATGTTCAAAAATTATATGACGAAACTGAAAGAGTCTTTTGATATGCTAGTGTTGAAACCTCCATTTTCTGGAAAGATGAAGAATCTCCAGCTCACGGGTTATAACGAGGTACGAATGAGTTGCAAGTTCGTTCGGATAAGGCGGTTAACATGCACAGTACATACATACACCTGACGTCGAGTGAAGTAGACAAGTGGTGAACACCTTAAGGCATTTTCCCCCTGATCACCAGCATTCTTCACTGTTAACGGCTGTGCCCAGTTTAAATGCAGATCCAACTGTTTACCTGTATTTTACAGCGATTGAGTCTAGTACTATGAACTGATGCCTGCAAGTGTGAATTTGAGGGTTCACATCTGCTGATACTCATTACGATTATACACGTGGATCCCGCAAGAGGTATTCAGGGTTGTGTGTATTTGGTTACGAGACGACTGAGCGTCAAAGTACCTGTGATAGGAGATAGACAACCGTTAGCGTTAATCTGCGCATAGATTAATGTGCAAAGTCTATGTAATTCAGTTTCACAACTTGAGTTCTTGACTGATATGAAAAATAGACTCACCACAAAACTCCGGGGTTCCGGCCATATCTTGGAATGTTTCATTGGGGCTGAGTACACGGGCTAGGCCAAAATCGATAATTTTTATCTTCCTGGAGGCCAAGTCCTCAATCATGATATTTTCCGGCTAGAACGGTAAAGTCGGTGGTAGGGTCTTCACCTTGGCCCAAAATGCACTTACATGTACATATATGTACATATTAAATGCCGTATTAGATACAATATAGTTTCAACAATTTAAATGTAGTTAGTTGTACTTTATCCTCTCGGGTTGACATGCGCAGCGATTGTGTAAAAGACAAAAATAGAGTCCGGTTTGTGCTGCAAATGGTGTTTCATGCAGTAGTGCACAATAAAACTTCCAAAAATAATCTGTGAAACATATTTGAAGCTCCATGACCATATATAGTATATATCACGAGCCGCAAAAGGGTGATAAGTTCTTCACAATTTGAGAGTTACTTAGCAGAAAACAAATTAGAAGCGGCTATTCGTGCCAATCACTCTCCGTATCAACGAACGCTTTTAAAAATGGTGGCTGAAGTTTTGCTGTGATGTTGATTTGTCTTACAGAATGACAGATCCCTATATAAGACTTGTGCGAACAAGCACGATTTAGAGTAACTATCACTGACACATGCTGTACATCTGATAATAAGGATTTTTCCTATGAGGTGTTACTATGCCGGCTAATTAGTTTCATGAAGAAGCAAGCTTGCGCTTCCATTTTAACATGCTGTGTCCACATACTGACCAAAGCTTAGTCAAAATGTCAATTTAATGGCTAGAGGCAGACGCAGAACGGAAGCAGATAAAAAAGAAATGCATGCATTTTCTGTAAATGGGCGAAGTGAGTTTTCACCACCGTTATCTGTTATATGCTTTCATATCTAATTATATTAAACCATATTTTATCGAGTTAAATGGTGGGACACGATAAGCTGGTTAGGAATGCTTGCCATTCTCTCTCCAGAACTGCGCTACAGCCATTCTACCCACTTAAAAAGAGTCCTAGATTCAGAGTGTTGCGCTTGCATGGATGTGAAATGGACCACACACAAAAAGCATGTTTCTTGATTAAAGTACTCTTTTTAAGCCGTAACTTAAAGGTAGGCAAACCAGAGAGCATATGAATAGTGAAAGGAAGCATGTAACTAGGATGCTCGGCTTTTAACCCCCAATTATCAGCCACTTTAGAGCTACACATTGGTCCAGCTGGTGAATGGTGAGAAGACTGTCATCTAGCTGCATTGTTCGTTTTTCACGTGATATACATATGCAATGAGCAACACCTACGCATCTGTCAAATCCAATTGGAACGGTCACGGCTGAGTGTACACACATGTGGCTAAGGATGGCGACCATCAGATCAAATGCAATCGTGTTCCCGATTTTTCTCAAACGAGTAGAAGTAAAAACTCGTAAAACAGCTAATCATGCAGTTTCGTACTGGCAGTAATGGATAACCGAAGTAAACAAGTGCTTAGATCCTCAGCCTGCATAGAAACAAACCAGAGCTCGTGTTTTAAAAAGTCTTGAAAAGGATGAATCCATCCTATAAGTGAACTAGTACCCAACTAGTGTGGCAATTTTGGGGAAATGGCGTCAGCTCAACTGATGCAGTCCGTGTTGGTTGTACATCATACTGTTACTTAAGTCCATGTTGATTGAGTGATAGTCAAGTCCCATAGAAAGGTGAGGTTGAAAACTGAGATTCAGTTCAAAGGATATGGTAATCCAGATTTACATTTAGTGACGAAGTCCAACCACATAGTACGTGCTCCAAATTAACTTACCAATATAGGCCTTTTGATAACCTAAGAATCTTGTTGGTGAACTCAACATGTTGTTCACGTGGACATATTTGTTATTGGACCTGTACATATCTCACGCTGCGGATACATGAGCATGTCATTATGTTGCGTCACGTCTTTGCTCATGTGCAAGCCGGACAGCAGGTAATGTGCAATGGTTAATAAGTCATAAAAATGATTTGGGGACGGTGCCGCTGTTGCAGCAGAATTTTTATTTGGAGGTGCGTCCCGCAGCTGACACACTCAGAGATCCGAAGTTCCGGCGGCGATCGAACTGGCTGTAAAACTTGGCCCCATTTTGGCAGTAATCTGATGGGTCGGAGTTTCGACTACACATCAGTAGGTGAAAAAGGATCCGGTTAAACTTCTTAAGTATTTTATATGACATTTTGTAGTAAGTATGCCGATATCGATAGCATCTGCTACGCATACACACGGTTCGCTTTTTAAGCTAAAAGGGTTCATGGAACAGCATTTGAACACAATCATGTTATTTTCTCGCTGCACAACGAAAATTGTTATCAACAGCTCCTGACGCACACCTCGCATCTAAGTATTGACACTGACAGTCTAATAACCTGTACATTAGTGAAATATTTCGGAGTTACACTAACTTGGGATCTCATGTGATTATATCATGTGAATGCAACATTCACTAAAGTCAGGAGACTAAGGTTCTACATCTCCCGACTTAGATCTTCATTCGTGTCTCGCTAGTTGTTTTTACGGTTTGTCACCGCTCGCGTAACCCAGCACGGGACGTATTACTCACCTGGGATGATTCCTGGACTCTTAATTGAACAATTAAAAGTGTTCAACAGGCAGCTAAAACATCTTGCTCGAGGCAGCAGAATTTCCATGCTAGTGGTGCTTGACATCATTGTGTCCAACCATGTTCGCTCCTGCAAAAATCTAGCCCTTAAAACACTCACTGATGTCAGTCACTCTCTCCATTGTACGTTGTTAGAATGTATCTTGATGTCATCGACCAGACAAAAGGATAACGCCATTTATGCCCACATATGAGCTTACGGTACGTCAGTTGTTCCCTATTTCTCATGTTTTCTGAGGGATGAAGATGTATTTAAACAAGACCTTATTGCCAGGCTCAATCAATGATATCACCGTTGCCACATTTTCAAATCGGTGGCGCAACATATAGGGATGTTATATTTTTATTTAATTTTATTTGTGCCAGCGTGTGTTGTAGCTGAATAATCACTCTTCATGGGTGCATAAAGCGCAATTATTGACTTGACTGACTTGATTTGACTTGCCAGCTGGGAAGTTCAAAAGGCGTCATCACCGTGCTTCCATCAGGACTGCAATTTCAGGATGGCATATCTCGCAACCAGTTGCAAGTAAGTGATGGCTGTTTGTAAACGAGTGGAAGAATCGAATTACCAGAATGCCACTTGTTGTAAACGAGACACTTGGTCAGATTTTTCTGCCTGTGACGAACTGCCAAACTTATCCATTACAAACACTCCCAAAAGTTACTTTCACTTGATGTGTGCCTTGAAGATAAGCATTCAACAGGCACTCGTAAGCTTTCCGATGGCGTACACCCAGGATTGTGCACTTGGCTGCAGTAAGTTAAACCATGCTCTGCGTTTACCATCCATAGACCATATTTAGGTCGCCTGTAGCGGTGTGTGGTAGCGTACGGTTTAGACGGCCTTCCAGATCACAACCCAGTGAATGGTATACGATTGGCACCGCGAAGAGAGACGCAACTTGTTTGTGATCTCCGTGTACGCTCCAACTGACTACAGTGGCAACTCAGTCAAGGACGAATTCTACCGAGATCTACAACAGCTCTTGACTAATGCTAATAAGTCGGATGTCGTTATTCTTGCTAGAGATGTTAATGCACGGTTTGGCCGCCTGTTACCATACGAACGCCACCTTAGTGGTTATCACGCGCTCGATGAGAACCGCGCTGAAAACGGAGAGAGACTTCTCACATTGTGCGAAGACAATCGTCTGTTTCTAACTTCAGGCGTACGAAGAAGCGTTCCGCAACGTGGCTTCCCCCTTCGCCAACACAACCGTGGTCTCAAATTGATCACATTGCAATTAGCTTAAGTTGGTGCGACAGCGTACTGGACTGTGTTCCTTTTGGTCCACTTTCGTTGACTCAGATCATGCTCTGGTCTGCGCGAAAATCTGTATATGTTTTGGAGGATACCGAAACACGAAGCACCGCAATGTTGATGTAAACAGATTAACTGATTCCTCTGTCCAGGCGAGCTATCAGTCTTCACTGGCATATGCACTCAGTTGCAATCCACCTCAAGAAGTGGAACAACACTGGACTTGTATACTGAAAGCGATGACCATTTCCGGACAGTCATGCTGCGGCCTAACTCGACGCCCCTTGAAGGCTTGGATCTCTGCTCGTTCTCTGGAGCTGTTCGAACGCCGCAAAGATATCCGGCGGAATCAGATTGCAACGAGCGGCGCTGTTCTGCCAACCGGCTGCTCAAGCAAAGCCTACGCAAGGATCGCGAGACATGGTGGTCTGAGCGTGCTTTAGAGATGGAGACTGCTGCCCTCTCTGGCAACACTCGCAGACTTTTCCAACTCATTCGGTCAACTGGAATCAGGAAGCCTGGTGTCAGTGAGGTCATTCGTGAGGTGGATGAGTCTCCGATCACCAACCAAAAAAGGCGTATGGACCGCTGGGCCGAGCACTTTCACTCGCAGTTCAACAGGCCTCCACCATCCATCAGTACATGCAGTACATCTTGTTATCAACCCTGGCTAGTCCCTCTGAATCCACCCAGCAAAGCGGACGTCTGCCTCGAGATTCGACGCTTGAAGCGCTTCAACGCTGCCGGCTTAGACGAACTTCCACCGGATCTATTCAAAGACGGCGTGTGGCGATCATTAACCAGCTGACCGTGATGTTCGCAAAAATTGGCATGAAGATAAAGTGTATTCCTCTTGGGACGAATCAGTTATTGTCCCGATTTTCAAGAATGGCGCTCGCACTTCATGTGCAAATCATCGCGGGATTAGTCTTATTTCGGTTGTCTCTAAGCTATTGGCATCCATTCTGCTTCGCAGACTATCCGCAGTACGTGAATCATACTACCGTGAAGAACAAGCTGGTTTCCGTCCTGGCCGCGGATGCGTGGAGCAAATCTTTACGCTCGGCCAGCTCCTCGAACATCTCCACATTTATCACATGTCCACTGTCGTTGCATTCCTCGGCATACGTGCCGCTTTTGACTCCGTTGATCGACCTGCTTTATGGCGTTGTTTGCTAAAGTACGGGGTGCCAGAGAAATATACCGTCATCTTACGA